AGTCGAATGGTCTAAGTAACACCTACAAAGCACCTTTTATAACCCCCCTGATGAAAAATAATTTTGAGACTTAACTCACACGCAATGTATTCTTTAGCCAGTTCCAAGGGATCCACTTAAAACACAATGGACTCCTTGAACCTTTAAGAAGGGATTTGATACCAGATTCAAGTTCTTATCAGCGAGATAAAAACATCCAGTTTCAAGAGCTCTTGAAGGTGGATCACCCACATCCTAATTGTATTTGGCTTATTGAATGCTGTAAAATAGTGAGCCAGTCCTGGTGATTGGACTCACGAAGAAGTTGCTCTAAAAAAAATATCTTCATCTTGTGCCAACGTACATAGTATCCTTTCTCTACACCTATCTCAGGTCTGTTAAGAGCACCAGGAAAGTGGTTCAGCCTTGTAATGACCAGTATCGTCATTGGCCAGCGTCTCAGATCAGCTCCCCGCAGTGGGGCCGAAAGTACTGCAAGGCTACAAAAATTTCCAAAATTTTCTAGATTTTGCTAAGATCTTTTGCAAGCTGATCTGCCACAAGCATACCTTCACCGCAATAAAGTGTTCGAGATACCGGGAGTCCAATAGGCTGCAGACCCAGTAGAAGTTTTTTGTTCTACGACCCCAAATCGACTTAACTAAAAAATAATTCGAAGGATAACAAGAATTGAACAGCCACGCAAAAATGGGGGACGTTGCACAGGTGAAGGTCGTCTTCACTACCACTGAGCAGGATTTGGTACTCCCAGACTCTAAGCAACAATTGCTCGTGCCTGCAGGTCAGTTATTGGTGTTCTTGAATATCCTGGAATGATCAAGGGGCTAATCCTTATCATAGATATTAAACGATATGGCCTTTCTCGCATTCTCAACTCCGAGTCTATGCTCGACACCTCCTCTCCTATACCCCTCGACTTTCTCGCCAACGGCACATTTCTCCGAACGTCTATCGAAGAGTATCTTGCAACAAATGGTCTTTCATCTGAATCCACCTTGACTTTGCAGTATGTTCGAAGTCTGCTTCCTCCGGTTTACGAAGCGAGCTTTGAGCATGACGACTGGGTCGGTGGTATAGACCTCCTATCTGCCACTTCACGAGCAGGCCTCCTGGCTGATGGTGGTAACATCCCCGAACGAGTTGCGAGTGCTTCCTATGACGGCCTCGTTAGGGTCTGGAACCCCTCTGGAGACGCAATCGCAGTGTCTCCTGCTGGTCGAGCTGGTGGTCACACGCAGCGAGCGAATGCGGTTAAGTGGATCTCACAGAAGCAGCTGGCTTCAGTTGGCCTGGATCGCAAGGTGATTGTCTGGGACTACAGCGAGTCCGAGGATGGTTTCTCTGGTACCCTCAAGTCCAGCATGGAACTCTGGGGTCATGAGAAGGAAATCAACTGTCTTGACATTAACGGAGCCACTAAGCGCATTCTCACAGCATCATCCGATGGTAAAGTTGGCCTTTGGACATCGTCAAAAAGAACAGCTCCCCAAGCGGATCCTGAGAGCTTGCCTTCTGCACATAGCACGAAGCGAGCCAAGCTTGCAAGTGCCGCCAACACTGCACAGCGTGGCCCTCTTGCTTTGATCCCTGTCCATGATGAGCCAGTGACTGCTGCCATCTTTCATCCCAACGACGCAACGGTCGCCTATTCGGCATCCAAAGATCATACTGTTCGCACTATTGACTTGACAACCCAGCGCGAGGTCAGCCGACTCACAACCATGCACCCACTATTATGCGCAACGGCGCTCCCCGGATCCTCGCTTGTCGCTGCTGGTTCGTCGGCCCGACATATTACCCTCCTCGACCCCCGCGAGTCAGCTACTACTACCTCAGCCATGACACTCCGCGGTCACGTTAATATGGTTGCCTCTTTGGCGCCTTCACCCGAAAACGACCACTCGCTTGTGTCTGGCTCCCACGACAGTACATGCCGCGTGTGGGATCTTCGAAGCGTGCGGATGGGTACATCGGAAGAGGGTGGCGGCAGCGTCAGTGAGCCTGTGTACACCATAGGCCGAGAGTGGCTTAAGGGCAAGAAGCTCCCGGCCGCTGGTGATGGGGCCAAGGTGTTGAGTGTGGTCTGGGATCAATCCTGGGGTATTGTGAGTGGTGGTGAGGATAAGAAGGTTCAGATCAACAGAGGCCGTAATCTGTTTGGGCCAGGATCATAGTGTAATAGAAATGGAGACCCAAAATCGATTATTCCTTTATACCAAAACATTATTTAGCTTTGACCCAGTAACGACCAATAAATAGGATCTAGGTATTCTAATAACAGCTATAAAAGTATTAACAATAAAGTCTCTGGCCAGACTAAAGTCTTAGTAAACTTGATTAATAAGGTTACCTTTAGGCTGCAGCATCTCAAGCAACTCTAATCATAATGAACACGTCGCTTGACCAGCTGAAGAGCTATAAAAAGCTTGACTGCAGAGTCTGCAACTCCCCTACGACTTTGACCTTTCCTAATCTATCTATCCCTCAAAGATACTCGTATCGATAATTGCGATTATACCAAAACATATTTATTGTGTCCTTAGATGATATAGCTGGAATATTTAAGGATCTTAGGGGTCCAGTTGGCAACAGGTCTGAAGGTCACGAATTATAACCTGATTCAAAGGTAATAAGCAGTCTTCATCTATTCGTTTCTAATCCCATTTGCCGTGAAGCTGCGTTTCAAGTAGGTCCCCATGCGTGCACTCGAATCCTAGAATCGATTTCACAGTTCTTCTTCAGATTCTTGACTTGCATCCACTAATGCTCGATACCTGGAACTCACTAGTGACTGGGGGGCAAGGTGGACTAATACCTCATTTCTAAGCCTCGCCTTGGAATAAGGCAACCCTTCCGAGATGATGGCATCAAGGATATAGGAAACAACAGTGTTTGTCTTAAGAGGAGGAGTACGTAAGAGTGTAGCAACGGCCTCTGGTGTAAGATCTTGGTTGTCATACCACATGTAATAAGTGCGAAGGGACGACAATGGTGGGATCGGCTTGGGGCGCGTTGCGCTGTGGTATTGTTGAGCGTGTTTTTCGGCAGCAAGGATACGGGGATCCCTTGTATCATGGGAATTATCCTCTGATCGCGGCGTAGCATTTGTCGTGGGCGTTGCGATCGATGGCGTAGGCCTGGTTTCTGGTGTTTCAAGTTTCACCTCAACATCAGCAATAACCTCAGATTCCCCGGATTCTGAAGTCGTATCACTTTCGTCAACATCGTCAGCGGTTAAGAACCGAATAGGAAGATTCTGCTCGACGAAAGCTGGTCGAGGAGGAGTAGGCTGAAGCTTCATGCGCTCCTGCTCAAGCACATAGTACAGCTGGAGACCAACATATGCATCTGACGCGGAATCTATATATGCGTGAGCTACAGAATCACAGAAGGCGTAAATTTCAACTCACATGTAACTTGATCTGCTGACAGACGCATCATCCAATTGCTGGACCGCACATCATCTCCTTTGAACAAAGGAAGACCTAGCATCTCCTGTGTCTGCACGGCTAAAGACACCATGACCTTGTTGATTCGGTCTAGCTCTCCAGCCTTCGAATACTTGACAAGTTTGTAGAGGTGCGACAGCTCGAGGATCCCTCTACTGTTTATACCGAGATTGTTCTTCAACCTCGTGCAGTCACCCTTGATAGCCACTCCGACTTTTGTTACGCTTTCGTCCTCCATAATCCTCTTGAAAGTTGGGGCGACAAAGTCGTCCCTGGGGAAAAGTGCAACGTGGAACAGGCCTACACGACTTGGGCTTGCGATCTGGATGAGCGAAACATTTCGTCGAGGGTTGGAGTTGGCAGGACCCCTCGCAACAAGCCACTCCAAATCGAAGCCAATGACTTTCTCGTCAGAAAAGTACCTTTCACAAACATGCTCCATCGTATGTTTTGAGGTGCAGTAGTGGACTTTGACTTTCTGCTCTTCGCCGTCCCCTTGAACCTGACGGTACATTTTGTAGGACCAGAACGACTGGCTGGAGCCGGCCTTACTCTTTCGGGCTGTATCCCAAAGGTTGGCGTCGATTGTGTAGTCTAAGGATGTGAGAGGAGCAGTGACGGATTCCGCCAGGGCTTTCTCTCGCTTTGAGGCGTCGACGAGATCTCCGTCTGTGTCTGATGCAACCTGGGTGCCTTTAGAGATTGTTTCAATGGTCGGCAATACCAATCGATCTTGTTGATCGAACCATTCTGCCGCATCACGCTCGAACTCTTCACCCTCGCTGAACTCGTCAGCTTCGACATCTCCCTTTTCAACACCCCCAGACCCAGAGGCAGGGGTATGGACGAAGCGAGTAATATCTAGGAAAGGGTAAGGTGGCTGATGATCATTTTTCGTGGAGAATCTGATCCCAAAAGCCGGATTCCACAGACGATTCTTTATATGTGGTGACATGTTGGAGCTAAACTCTTTCCTTTATAGATAGAACCGTCAGGAAGTTTTTAAATCAAAGACGGATATCTAAACATACCTACTAGCAGAGGGGAACCGGCGCGTTCTTGTCAAGGGTCTTAATACACTGCCAGCAATGCACCCCTGTGAAGACAGTATCAATGGGGTATGAAGTGATTGAAATGTAGCCAGCGTCGGTGAGCCATTGTGGCAAAAGCCCATGACCCTGATACGCGAAGGCTACTGTGCAGTATGTGAGATTTGTTAGGCAGCCGCGTCGATACAGCGATCATTGATTCTGAGCGTTAGCGGGTGGCTTGGGGAGGGTGGAGGTGCCTGGGCAATGAATTGGCTTAGTCACCTTGATTATCGCGAGAGCACGTGGGGACGTGCTCACCTAATTCACACCTCCATAATCCATCCCACTTTGAGACTTTGAGGCGACGACCTTGACGACTTCAGCTCAACTCTGATATAAAGCATTTTGCTTTCGGTAACTAAAGCCGGCAATTCGGCAGAAACGTACTAATAGTTCTGAGAAAAGAAGCCGCCTCAGATCGATAACTCTTCATACGATCCACCCACGTCACATTTTCACAATGGCATCCCAACTGTTACCTCTCGGTGAGTAGCCTTGCATAGGGAGCCTTGATGTATCAAGGCTACATACTAACTCTTCCATGTAGAGCTTATCGACAAGTGTGTGGGCTCCAGGATTTGGGTCATTATGAAAGGCGATAAGGGTGAGAGATGAGTTTCTGTATGCTCATGGACGATTGTGCTGAAAAGGTGATAGAATTCAGCGGAACTCTCGTCGGTTTTGATGACTACGTTAGTGAGTATTGCTCTCCCAGCTCGCCCCTACCGAAACTAATCACCGGTATAGACATGGTTCTGGAGGATGTGACCGAGTTGTATGAGCAAAATCTCCATTATTGCATTGCCGGCACTGGCTAACTCAACAGTGATTATTCGGGTAACCACACTAAACTTCCCAAGATTTTGCTGAATGGCAACAACATCTGCATGGTGAGTCAATCGTAACTCGTCCCCTGCTTTTGTACTAAAACTCTATCAGTTGATCCCTGGTGGTGAAGGTCCAGAAGGAGCTGCTTGAGAATGGTCTACTAGGATCATAGACAGCAACATCTCTTTTGGTCGAAACTCATCTCGAGCCCAGACTCCCCTATTTTAAACTCAAGCGAACCTGACGCGACCTATTTTATACGTGTGTCACAACATGCACATCAAGTGGAAACAAGGACCGCAGTATAGCCCAGAAGAGTCTGCTCTTAAGCTCATTCCAGTTTATATCTGGTTAAAAATAAATAAGCAGTAACCTGCAGCCCCAACGCCGACCGCCCATGATGCCTGTCCGTTTTAGATGATCCCTGATAATGAACGCGGAACTCAGTGGCCGTTCTGCATGTTTCCCTGCTCACCAGTGTTGGTGATGCGTCTCAACTCCCACTCTCGCGTGAACTCCTGATGCAGCATCTCGAGTTGTTTAATGAGCTTCTCACAGACAGAAGTAAAGACGTCGCGGGGGGTGATAGTTCCATCTGTTTGAACTCGTATGAAAAGCTCAGGAACATTGGGATGAGCAACTGTGGTACGACGTCAGCATAAGATTCATCCAGGGCGGCAGGATCTGTACTCTTATACCCAGCCATGTAGACATTGGGGTGCATCTTTAGGTGCTCGGAGAGAAGGTTTCCAAGAGTGTGGTCTTCTTTCATGAGGACAAAATCGGAAGTATTGGACATTCCTGACGAAATATTGTAAGTAGGGGATAGACATACGTCGTAATAGAGCTAACCTGAGAAGACCTTTTCCTCTATCTTCTTCTCGCCCTCTCCGAGCAGGAACAACTCGAAACTGTCAAGTTTGTTAGCTTGCGAAAGACGTCAAGTAGTTTGCAGCAACGTAACGGGTCATCTTGGAGATTGAAATGCTTGGGGTTACCACCGGCCATTGTCTAATGTTTGGTGAAAAGGCAAATATATGCTTTGTGCTTTTTATGGTGTTGGAATAGATGAGATGAGCTTGACTCGCTTGAGGAAAATGCTTTTTGAATTGCTTGGGAAACGCACTTCGCGAGATAATTCTTCTCAAAGACAGTGCCCGCCACTGACACTGACACCGCAAATGAACGCAAGGAAAGGATAGCTACTTGATGACTTTCAGACATTCGAAAAACCAGACTGCCTTGAGAAGGCTGGGCATACACACTTAGGGGTAATCGCAACTAGGTAACACTGCCAGTCGCATTATGCTTTCTAAACCAAATGACGGCAGGGGGATAAGACCAAGCTGGCAACTTGCCAGCATGAAAGCTATTCCCTATGCTAAGGTAGAGACCGAATGTCGAATCAACATTGGATATTTGGCTTCACATGACGCTTGACCAAGTGGGATAATAAGAGCGTGTAGTATTGAAATCTGACTTGATGTCTGTGTTTTTTTGCCAGACTTAGAGAAGAGTAAGGAGCCTGAAAGCTCACGAAAGGAGACCCGAATAAAAAGAGAAAGGGGCAGACAAAGAGATAGAAAAAGACGGTCTTACCGATCAGGCGCGTTCATCTTTGGTTCTTGATCGGGGTGTTAGGCGTTTTGGGATTTGGCGGTAAGTGGCGATTACAACAAAAGTCCAAGAATGTCGGCAGTTTGCGTTTCGTATCGCTCGAATCGTTCGGCGAGTGATTGTGAGTACAGGATAAACCTATAGAATACAGCACCAAAAAGATCCAAAAGGAAGTTGTATCTTGAGCGAGTTGGACAAGTTGTGAACAAAGATTTAAAGAATAAAGCATGATAATGCAGGGGGGTTGCTCTCAAAGCTTCGAGGCGCGACAGGATAAAGGTCGGTTAATCATGACAATATGTACATCCAACCTCAACCTTAGTACCTCACTTTTCGATGGCAAGCTTACAATCCTGTCATGCATTACCTTTCACCGTTGCAGGCTCAACGATGAAGTTCTTTCATAATGCCGCGCATTCAGCCATCTTTGTTGCGGCGTGCTAGGCGCCTTTCGCCACACATCGCAAGCCTTCTTCCAGCTTGCCGGGACTTGAATTCAGCCCAGAACGAGCTCCGATGGCTAAGAAGCCATGTCGATGAATCACGGTCACGAAACAAATCGTGGCTGTTAGACAATTTATGTCGAAGAAGAGGGCGTGGTGAGCCACTTCAGTATGTCGTTGGCTCTCAGCCATTTGGCTCACTCGACATCAAGTGTAAACAAGGTGTTTTAATACCTAGACCAGAAACCGAAGCATACACTTTCCATCTAATAAACCTCGTCAAATCAGGGGAGCTTCTAGGTCAAGATGTAAGGACGATGGGCCGTGGAGTAAACATAATCGACTTCTGCACAGGGACTGGTTGTATACCTCTTGGAGTTTTCTCATCCCTCCAGCACTCGGTTGACAAATTGACCGTGCGAGGAGTGGATGTTTCGCCTGTAGCCCTCCGGCTCGCACAGGAGAACATCGCACGGAATGTCAGGCTTGGAAATTTGATTGAGTCTACAAAACACAAGCGGCTTGACATCACAAGAGCAAATGTTTTTAGTGATGGAGACATGCAGCAGCTCGCCGTCACCCCCTGGGATATTCTCGTGTCTAATCCTCCATATATATCAGAAGATATCTGGCATCATGGCCGTGGGCAACTCGGCTATTCAGTCCGAAAATATGAACCGCGCCTCGCATTGGTTCCCGATAAGGACCTCCCTTGTTCTAGTAAATGCAACCCAGCAGACGTCTTTTACGCACGGCTTTTGGACATTGCAGAGCTCCTCAAGCCCAGAGTGGTACTGTTCGAAATCGGTGACGAGGAGCAGGCCCTTCGCGTGTTGCAGCTGTACTTCAACCACCCAATTGCCCAACAGTCAAGGACTGAAATTTGGCGTGACTTGCCTGATTTCGAGGGAGGCAAGGATGCAGAGATTGTCTTGCATCTCAATGAATCAAAGGAAGAATGCCGAGTTCCGGTGAAAGGCGATGGCCTTATACGATCCATTCTAATTCACAGCCTGGAATGGGCAGAGCGATAGGGTAGTAGATGGACCTCCAGGAGCAAGAAAACCTCTGTTTGGGGCACAGGTGTCAAAAATACATAATCCAAGGTCTATCAAATCTACACTAACTTGTATGAAACTTGCCTAGGTCTTTTTGTCACTACCTAGATTATCGTAAATGGCCCTTAGAGACAGACACGTTTGCCTCCACTATCAATGAATGGCAGTCTCTCCTTCAGTATTGACCGAATCCTTGATCAATCCGATTCATAACCTCCTACTGAAAAGACTGGATATGACATATCTAATATCGTTGGAGATAGCTACAAAGAATACTCTCTTGTATTAAAGATCACTATGAAGCAGAGAGCACTTCGAAGAGTTCTATGATACTTACATCTATCACTAGTACTGGGAAATAAGGCGCATATTGCCACTGCTCACTTCGACACTATCTACCTCAGTACCTAAGTTGTAGTCTGAGGATGCATGTTGACAAGTGTAAAAACGATGTGCCTACCCATTCGATGTATTACTTCACATCATTACCTCAGGTAAGTACTTGACGTCAAGCATTACAGAGCCGAACAGACCTACCTACCAGTACCGACTACTAGGTAATACCTTAGGCATCACTCATTGACGTACTGACACATTCCCTGAGGCGATCATATCAGCCAATCCTCTCACCCTCCGCCCTCAGTTGACCCCACACTCAGCGACTTCCCCAACACGTGATCCTCAGTTTTCGAGCTAAGCAACCGCTGTAGACTCATCACCAGAACCTTTCACTTGGTGGTGTCATCCAACATATTCATATTCATCCATTGGCGCTGGGATTCCGAGTTCTCGCCATATACGACTGTATACCGGCCTCAAATATTAGTCAATAGCCTTGTTGGCTTGAGCCGTGCTACCCCATGAGATAGCACGGCGCTCTCAATTACCTCTAACTATACACACAACCCCGGTAGTTCCGCACTCGCGACAGCCCGCGTTGCCCGCCATGTCGAGATTTTTAAGACAATCGAGCCAGCTCGCACGAGCGACGAGATTGTCAACGCAGCCTGCACTACGCTTATGCGCAAGGCCGTCACTTGTCACCCGATCGATCCCCGCAAAGACTTCTGCCGCATTCGCCATTCGGGCAAGGACATATTCCTCGCAACCCCCACCTCCCGGCAAAGATCCCCGATCAAACCCGGAAAAAGATGATGAGCATGGAAGCAAGCCATTGAATCAACACAGTGCAAAGAATGGGCCCGATGGAAGCAAGTCTGAAGCACCAAAGCCGACACCTCTTCCCGAAGGCTGGATTCACTTGAACAAGGAGGAACTGGCGCATCTCGAGGAATTTACAAGTCGACTTCCAGAGGCTCAAAGGCCGGTGGCAAAGGACATTCTTGAGAAACTTCAAATTGTTGGTGCTCCTGCCGAGACCCGAGATCTCCTTCAGAAGCAACGCCAGAACGGCAACCTTTCGATTTTGGACAAGGGAAGGCTTATGCGATGTGTATACATGGTCACAGAACGGATAATAGAATTGGAAGATCAGCAGGACAGCCAGGATGGGCAATTTTCCTCCTTCCGCATGGACCAGGAACCGAAGACCCAGGACGGAAAGGGTGGCGCTGACAAGTCGAAGCAGCAGCAGCAGCAGAAGGGTGGCAAGCCACCGAAGAATGAGCGCAGCGGGTGGCTGGAGGCTGTTCAGACTGGTATCGCCATAGGTGTCACTGTATGGATTGCGGAACTCTTTGCCAACCCTTTCTCTGAGAAGGAGATTACTTGGCAAGAGATGCGGAAAGCTTTCCTGGATAAGGGCCTGGTTCAGAAGCTGATTGTTGTTAACGGCTCACACGTGCGGGTAGAGCTTCATCCATCTGCAACTGGAGCTACTGGTGAGGGCGGGCAACCTGCGAGAAAGAGCTACGTGTTCTCCATAGGGTCTGTTGAATCCTTCGAGCGCAAGTTAGAGCAGGCGCAAGATGAGCTAGGTATTCCGCCTTCTGAGAGGATACCTGTGAGCTATGAGGCTGGAGGCAGTACCCTTGGCAACCTTCTTCTAGCCTTTGGTCCTACACTGCTCTTCATCGGTTTGATTCTCTGGACTCAGCGGTCAATGGGCGGACGTGGTGGTGCTGGAGGAGGTATGTTCAACTTCGGCAAGAGCAAGGCGAAGAAGTTCAACGCCGAGAGTGCTGTTAAGGTCAAGTTCTCAGATGTTGCTGGCCTCGAAGAGGCAAAAACCGAGATCATGGAGTTTGTGAGCTTCCTGAAGCAGCCCGAGAAATTCGAAAAGCTGGGTGCCAAGATCCCTCGAGGTGCTATCTTAGCTGGCCCCCCTGGTACTGGTAAGACATTGCTTGCCAAGGCCACAGCCGGCGAGTCTGGAGTACCATTCTTCAGTGTGAGCGGTTCTGAGTTTGTTGAAATGTTTGTCGGTGTCGGCCCTTCACGTGTGAGAGATTTGTTCGCCGAAGGACGTAAGAACGCCCCTTGCATCATCTTCATTGACGAGATTGACGCAATTGGACGTGCGCGACAGGAGAGCGGCCGGGGATTCGGTGGCAACGATGAGCGGGAAGCAACTCTGAACCAGATTCTCACTGAAATGGACGGTTTTAATACCCGCGAGCAGGTTGTTGTTCTTGCTGGCACTAATCGAGCGGATATGCTCGACAAGGCCTTGATGCGACCAGGGCGATTCGACAGACATATCTTCATTGATCGTCCTACGATGAAAGGCCGCCAGGAAATCTTCAAGGTGTATCTGAACAAGATTGTGACGAACGAGGACCACGAATACCTTGTTGGTCGCCTGGCAACTCTGACCCCTGGCTTCTCCGGTGCTGATATTGCCAATGTTGTCAACGAGGCTGCTCTAATTGGTATGTTCTACCGGCTATTCTGATACTGTGTGCCACCTTGCTAACTTTGCGTAGCTGCCCGAGGCAACGCTGATGAGGTCAAAATGGACCACTTTGAGCGGGCCATTGAGCGGGTTATCGGAGGTCTTGAGCGCAAGTCTCTCGTGCTGAAGCCAGAGGAGAAGAAGACCGTTGCATACCACGAGGCCGGCCACGCCATCTGTGGTTGGTTCCTGGAACATGCTGATCCTCTTCTCAAGGTCTCCATTATTCCCCGCGGCCAAGGTGCTCTGGGTTATGCTCAGTACCTGCCCCAGGATGCTTACCTGATGAACACCAACCAGCTCATGGACCGAATGGCTATGACAATGGGTGGCCGTGTATCTGAGGAGCTTCATTTCCCCACCGTGACAACAGGTGCTAGTGACGACTTCAAGAAGGTTTCCCAGATGGCACGAAACATGGTGACCCAATGGGGCATGTCCGAGAAGGTGGGCCCCATTCACTTCGAGAATGACCCCAACCGCATGCAGAAGCCATTTGCCGAATCTACTGCCCAGCAGATCGACCAAGAGGTTTCCCGAATTGTGGAAGCAGCCTACCAGCGATGCCGAGAGCTTCTGACCTCGAAAAAGAAGGAAGTTGGACTAATCGCCCAGGAGTTGCTCAAGAAGGAGGTTCTCGTCCGAGATGACATGGTTCGTATCTTGGGCAAGCGGCCATTTGGTGACAACGAGGACTTTGAGAAATACTTTGGCGGCGGTAAGGAGGAGAGCACACCCCCACCATTCCCCGAGGAGACAGATACGCCTAAGGACCCCCCTACCCCTGCCCCAGCTTTCAAAAAGCTTGAGTAGAGTCGAAAAGAAAAGTCGCCAAGCACACGGTTGGTAAAGGTAGCTTCTGTAGTACGATTGACGACGATTGGTCATGCGCAGTGCTGCGGAGGCAAGACAGGAGGAGAAGAAATACAGGAGAACTTGAGGCAGAGCGAGGATTGGCTGCGTAGCAACGAGCATAACGGCGAGGCCTATTCTAGAACCGAGGACTCTGATGTCAGGCCAGGACATCACGATTAACCGTCAGGAGGAAGCAGCACGGGTCATGGAGGCCACAGCAAGGCGCAGAGAAAAGCGGCACTCTACTCTACCAAACATTTGATGAATTCCTTTGGATGTTTAATGCATTATTAGCAGAACCGGCACATCGCAACCATCAAAATTACCCTCATCGTGTTGGAAAGCCTGGAGGTCGAGGCTAGGAACAACCATGTAACAATGTATTCTAGGCTATAGAACTGTAAAACATTAAGTGTATATTGATGACTGAATTCTCTATCTTAAACATCATGATTTGAATTGTTGTCTAATTTGCCTGGCTCGCCAGTCTTGTGACAGTTGATTAAGAACCCATTGGCGTCATGCTGCCATGTATCCCGTATTTCAGACAGGAGGGAGGAGGCAGAAGAGGGTTTAATGAACATCTCGAGATGACGAGCGGATGTTGACCACCTGAGGGCATGTCATTTAGTTAGAGAAGAGATCCCAGTTTCCTTGCGTTGCCTTACCAGATAACAATGCCATCTGAGGGAAACGGACTACCAGTACGGAGTAGGTATGAGTCGTGATTTGTGGCAACCAGCCCCGTCGAGGAACTAACAGAACAAATAGTAACAGAGAATGTCGATCCTAGTGACCTTGGCATGGCCTGAAGCAGCCGGCGGCCGTCAAACGTTAATTTACCTATAGTAGGTAAGGTAGGTAGTGTAAGTCAAAGATCTCGCGATTGTCATGGACCGCGAGCTGGTTCTGTGACGCTGATTGGCTGAGAAAGTTCCTCTGCTGACCGAGGTTTAGGAGGCTCTGCTCCCTTGGTGTAACCGCGTATGTCGAGAAAGGGTAATAAAAAGGTACAAGTTTTTACGACATCATGCACTTGTTGACAACAGGGTCCATGTGGGCTGTCATCAACGTCAACATTGGCATGATGGCATCCATGTGGGATGGCTAAGGTGGACGAAAGGTTCCGTGCATGTTAGGATGAATAAGGACTGGGAGGATCTTATTCTGGGGTAGTCTTCTACGTAAGGTAGTACGAAGTATGTACTAGTACAACCTACCTAAGGTAGGCTGTTGTTGTGACGGTATACTCATGATATCCATTGCA